GTCTGTCATGTCAGTTCTAATATCATGTAGGCCAAACTTCCACCAATCAGGGCTCCCTTACTTAGAACGGGAGGCCACAGCTAAGACATCTCCCACGACCCTGCAGACTCAGAAAGAAAGTGGAGATCCTTCCCTACCTCAGACATGACCAGGACTACACAGCAAAGGCCTCTCCAATACTCTCCAAAGAACACCCATCTCAAGGGGCCTGGGAGGATATCTACTGTCAACATAGAAGTTTCTCCAGGTATCCTGTTTTGATTTAAAATTGAAACCAACCCCCGAAGAGTTAACCTCCCCCAACTTAAGCATGACTCAGTCTTAAAGTTGTTTTCTCATGAAGTGAAGAGACCTCCATTTGGAGCAGACAAAACTGGTTGTAACCAGCTCTACCCCCTCACCTGGAGACTGTGCCTGCACCAGTGAGGAGTAGGTGAACTTCTGACATCAGAGGGCCAAAAACTCCTCCCATAATCATGCTAACCACCACCTTTTTCTGCATATGTGACTGGTGAAGAGGCAGGCACGGATCTTGCTTGTGCCTGTGCGGATGAATAAAGGACTTCCTCAAAACTTCTAATCACCCCCCACGCCCTACACCACCCCTCACCAATCTCCCATAAATATCCCTTCACTTGCCACTGGGGAGGCAGATTTGAGAAAGATTTCTTCTGTCTCCATAGTCGGCAGCTGGCAATAAAGCTTTTCTCTTCTGCAAAACCCGTGTCTCAGCGTTTGCTGCACAGTGCGCAAATGAACCCCAGTTCAGTTACATAATCAATGTGAATTGTACATTTTACTGCGTGGTGCTGTGTTTTAACAACACATTTCATTTCTCCTCTTTTGAGCAAAACTGATGCTTTGAGCCGTGCCTTAGCTGGGACTGCAGTCCTACCCCTGGTTGACAGCACAGCCTTACAGACACTCCACAGCACATAGGCAGTTTACAAGCACCTTCATATCTATTGTGTTACATAATTCTCACGCCTACCCTGTGAGACGGAGGCTGGTTTTCCCATTGTAGACATGTAAAGACCCAAAGCTCCCAGAGGTAAAGTGATTGGCCTGAGTTGGTGGCAGGTCTGATGGGGCATTCCCCTTCCCATGCTCTGCCACCCCTCACCACCTAACTCCCATTATAATTCCCCCCAACCCTTCAAACACCAAAATCAACAGTCCCCCAAGGCAGCACTCAAATAAGGGTCAAATGCTTTCCTAATGCCCTCTTAGACGGTTTGCACAGTTTAGCACACAGGTGGGGTAGCCCATAGCAGGTGAGCAGTCCTGTACTTTGCTACACTGTCTGTGGCAGAATGGGATGGGCAAGGACTGAGAACTAGAAAATCCAGCTTTGCCTGTAACTGGCTGTGTGACCCTGGGGAAGCTCCTCTCTGGGCTTTAGCTTCTCCATTTGAACAATGAATGAGGACTAGGCGATTTCTGTGCTTTTGGTACATTAGAGCTTTTCCATCCCAACATTCTAGACTACCCCCAGGCAACATCTTGTGCTGCAGAATCAGGCGGCTGCATGGCCTGGGGCTCCCCCATGTCCTCGGCCAGAGCTCACAGCTGGAGACCCCTCTCGACAAACAATTTATAACTCTGGGCCTCAGTTTCCTCATCTTTAAAATAGAAGGTAAAGAGTTCATAAAGCAATTATCAAGGGCTGCCTAGAATTCCCCTTGGAATCTCTCCCAGGCAGGGAGGCCTTGGGGGGGTGTGACCAAGACACTACAGACAGGCATGGGGAGGAGGGGCATTTCCAATAAATGGGCTGTTCCTCTTTCCTAGGGTTGGTCAAAATCACAGGACCACAGGATGCTGGGGCCAGAAGGCACCAAAGGCCATGGCAGCGACACCTACTTTCCAGAGCACTGCATCAAGGCCCAGAGTGACTACGTAATGTACTGGGGAGCATACATTGAGTGTATGGCAGAGTCTGGGCTGAAACCCAGGTTTCCAGACAGGGTCAGGGAATATCTTACAAGTTTTAGAAAATACAGTGATTAGTTCTGGTTTGAACTTGCTCACTGCTTCCCTTCTTTGGAGAACCAAATCTAGCATATGACTCATAAGCCAGATAATCTATTGTGATGATCTAGTTTATGATTCAGAAATGCTAGGGTTGTAAATTTCTGCAATTCAACTTCATGATTTAGCTCTAGTGTTGCAGGAGGGGATCAGAGGGTTGGGTCACGACACCACACTCAGGCCTGTGGGGGCTGGGCAACATCACCTTGCAGGTGGTGGTGAGGAAAGAGGACTTGGGTGTCACATCATCTTCTGTGGCAGCAGCTGCTCTGGGAGTCTGTAGGGAGAGGACAGGGCACTCAAGGCCCACCAACCTGTGTGGGCTCGCCCAGGGGTGGAGAAGGAGCACCCGGGTGGCAGCAGAGGCCCCAAGGGAGGCTCAGCTAGTATCGTTGATGGGAGTCCGGGAGCCACTCAGCAGTCCCTGGCGTTCGCCCTCCTCTCCTGGGGACTGTCGCCTGGATAGGCAGGTCAGCAGTGGGCGGTGCAGCCCGTTGTACAGGGCGGTACCCATCAGGAGGATGAGGAAGCCCAGGATCTGCAGTGGGTGGAAGGCTTCCCAGCCCAGCGCCAGGCTCAGTGCCCAGATGACTACGGTACGCAAGCTGTCCAGCACCATGCGGGTGGTGGCGCTCAGTTCTTTGGTGACGCTGATGCCCGCAAAGTTGAAGAAGGAGATGCTGCTGATGTTGCCCAGCAGTGCCAGGGCGATAAGCGGCTGCTGGCCCACCTGGCAGAAGGCGTCCAGTGCGTCCTCCAGCGTCCCTCGAGGGTTCCCACTGAAGGAGCCGGCAGGGATGTAGTACATGGGCACCAGCAGAAGGGAGAGGATCACGAAGCCAAAGAGGCCTAGGGGTGTGGGGGAGGCACGTCATGTCCTCCACCTGCCCCCACACTCCCAGCACGGCCCCCCAGCACTGCCACCTCTGCTCCCCGGGCCACCCCTTCCTGGCTGCCCTCACACCAGCTCCTTCCTTCAGTTCCCATGGCCCTCTCCTGGAACCTGTCCCTCCACCTCTCATCAGGAACTCACAGCCTATTACATGGGCCTTAGCTGCCCCTTCTCCTTACCCCAGTATTTTGACTGGACTGAGAGTGAGAAATACATTTTGTATCATGACCCAGTATACGTGTGCACAGGCATGTGCACACACATACAAATAGCTGCCCTTATTACGTACAGGTTCTGACATTTAAAAATTCTGTTCACTTAAAATAGAACTGCTGGCTGCAACTCATTATATTGCTTTCACAGGTCTGGACAAACACAGTTCTCTAACTCAGTGAGCTGTTGGTCTGCGACAAGGAGCTTGCACCAGCATGTAAAGCAATGCGCTGCTTCATTCATAAAGTCTGGCTGGAAAGTGAAAACGAGCAAAACAGTGTGCTTCGTGATGTAGCCGATTTAGTTGATTTAGATTCTTTTTGATTTTGGCTGCTGGCTGGTACAGGGATTGAACCCTGGACTGTGGTGTTACCAGCACTTCGTTGATGTACCTTCTGCCATAAGCTCCTTAGCTCTCACTGTGGGCCAGGAGCAAACAGCTCCCTGACAGGCACTAGTCCACAGGCCACTCTTTGGTAGCACAGCTCTAACCCC